AAGAAGGGGAGGAAATGACATTGGGCAGAAGAGATCTGTTGGGGATGGGCCCTCACATCACACAGCATAAGTAATTCCCTGCCCCATCTGGGGTTCCCTTGTGCTGCTGCAGTGCACATAGTAGTCAGAATGGCCAGTGACTCCTTCAGGGCACGCTACGCAACCTCAGGTGGGGCTCGACCTGAAAGTCAAGTTTATCCTGACACAAACAAAGGACCCCCATAGAACCTCTTCCACCATCACTTAGAAAATCAGGGGAGGGAGAAGCCATTCCTGGGGTAACAACAGATGCTAAACTTTCTGTGTTCCAGCATTGCATGTAAGTGCACGGTTCCAAAAATAGGATAGAAAGAACTGGAACTATAAAAATATAACAGTTCTCTCTGTGTTTATTTAAATTGAGGACTTAAAAAGTTGCAGGTAGAAAAATGATAATTGTTTGCAATTTTTCAACAACCTACTATATGAAAGGGCCAAGTCCAGTGTAGACTTGTGGAATAGCATCCTAGGACACAGAACAGGATTGGCAGGAAGAGCCAGGAGGAAGAAAAAAGAGCATCTTGACAAAGCTGAGAAAAACCAGGCAGAGTTTCACCAACTCCTTAATCGAGGAGGAATTGGAATTAATCATAAACCCACCTTGTATGTTGCTTCAAGTTTACTGTAGAAATAACTTTAACCATTTAAAGCATAGTATATATAATTCATTCAGTTGTGTGGATTCAGTCTTTTTCATCTAACCCTTTCTGTCGTGTTTATATACCCTCACATAAAAGAACCCCTTCAGGTATTTTGAATCTTGGTCAAGTGGAACCCCAATCATTTATTGCAGTCGAGATTTTAGTGCTCTGAAAGGGTGGCACAATAGAAACGCTTACAGCTGGCACTGAGCAGGGCTTACTCCCGCCTGAGTGTGCCACATGCCACACTGGTGCACTTGATGAAAGGCCGAAGGCGAAGGAGCACTGATGACTTCGGAATCAAGGGCATGAGCCTTTTTAATTTAATAATATCAGAATTGCTCCTAGCCTCCAGGGAAAGCTATACTTTGGAGGGTCTGAACAAACCACATACCTTTCTATGCCTCTGTTCATGCCATGACCTATGCACAAGATTCTTCCTCCCTCCTTCCACCTCCCCAAATCCTAGACATCTTTCCACGCTCAGCTCAAAATATATGCTCTCTGTTATGTTCTTTCTATTGGCAACTCTCTCCCTCAGTCATGGGGGTAACTGATCATTTAATTCTTTGGGCTCTGATAACTATTATGTTACTTTGTTGTCCTACTTGTCTTTTGGAGGGAAGAGTGTGTTATCTTTTCTTTGAGGATTTTTCTCTTCATCTTTGATGTCCTTTAGAATCACTCCTAAATGTCTAGGTTTGCACTGGTTTTTATTTACCCTGTTTGGAACTTGGTGTATTTCTTCAACCCAGGGTCTTATGTTTTTATTCAATTCTGGAAAATTCTCAGCCATAATCTCCTCGAATATTTCCTCTCTCCCTTTATTCTCTATTTTATGCTCTGGAATGCCTAATAGATGTATGATGCACCTACATACATCATTCTAGTCTCCATACGTCAACTGCCTTTTTGGTATTTCCACCTTTTTATTTCGCTCTTTATCCCCATTTCGCCTCTTTATCTCTATGTGTAATTTCAATGATCCTTCTTTAGTTGTGTCTAATTGACTACAGATTTTAGAAATCTCTGGTACAGAGAATTAGATTGATGTTAGTCCTAGGTTCATTATATACTATCATCATTTGTTAATGCATAGTCCTTTTTTGTTTGTCTAGATATGTATCTATTCATTAATAATATAAAAATGAAGGGACTAGAATATTAGCAATAACTTATAACTACCCATGTGCTTCCTCCCATCTTGTCCCAATCCTTCCTCTCATCTAAGGTAACCACTACCCTGATGCTTGTTCTTATTGTTGCTTTACTTTAAAAATTAACCTAATGAAACTTAAAAGCTTTTGCACAGCAAAGGAAACCATAAAAAAGATGAAAAGACAACCCTCAGAATGGGAGAAAATATTTGCAAACGAAGCAACTGACAAAGGATTAATCTCCAAAATATACAAGAAGCTCATGCAGCTCAATATCAAAAAAGCAAACAACCCAATGCAAAAATGGGCAGAAGACCTGAATAGACATTTCTCCAAAGGAGATATACAGATTGCCAACAGACACATGAAAAGATGCTCAATGTCACTGATCATTAGAGAAATGCAAATCAAAACTACAATGAGGTATCACCTCACACCAGTCAGAATGGCCATCATCAAAAAATCTAGAAACAATAAATGCTGGAGAGGGTGTGGAGAAAAGGGAATCCTCTTGCACTGTTGGTGTGAATGTAAATTGATACAGCCACTATGGAGAACAGTATGGAGGTTCCTTAAAAAACTAAAAATAGAACTACCTTATGACCCAGCAATCCCACTACTGGGCATATACCTTGAGAAAACCATAATTCAAAAAGAGTCATGTACCACAATGTTCATTGCAGCTCTATTTATAATACCCAGGACATGGAAGCAACCTAAGTGTCCATTGACAGATGAATGGATAAAGAAGATGTGGCACATATATATAATGGAATATTACTCAGCCATAAAAAGAAATGAAATTGAGTTATTCGTAGTGAGGTGGATGGACCGAGAGACTGTCATACAGAGTGAAGTAAGTCAGAAAGAGAAAAACAAATACTATGTGCTAACACATATACATGGAATCTAAAAAAAAAAAATGGCTCTGATGAACCTAGGGGCAGGACAGGAATAAAGACACAGACGTAGAGAATGGACTTGAGGACATGGGGAGGGGGAAGGGTAAACTGGGACGAAGTGAGAGAGTGGCATTGACATATACCCATTACCAAGTGTAACATAGATAGCTAATGGGAAGCAGCTGCATGGCCCAAGGATATCAGCTCGGTGCTTTGCGACCACCTAGAGGGGTGGGATAAGAAGGTTGGGAGGGAGATGCAAGGTGGAGGGGATATGGGGATATACGTATGTATATAGCTGATTCACTTTGTTATACAGCAGAAACTAACACAACACTGTAAAGCAATTATACTCCAATAAAGATTTTTTTTAAAAAATGTTTTGAGAATATATTTGTTCCTAAAAAGCACATTATTCAGTTTTTGGCTTTTAACTTAAAAAAAAAACTTTGTGACTTTATAAAAATGATTCTGCACTGAAATCATCTTCTAGGACATTATTATTTATTTTTATATAAATTTATTTATTTTAGGCTGCGTTGGGTCTTCGTTGCTGCACATGGGCTTTCCCTAGTTGTGGTGAGCAGGCTTCTCATTGTGGTGGCTTCTCCTGTGGCAGAGCATGGGCTGTAGGTGCACAGGCTTCAGTAGTTACGGCACGCAGGCTCAGTAGTTGTGGCGCATGGGCTTAGTTGCTCCGTGGCATGTGGGATCTTCCCGGACCAGTGCTCAAACCCGAGTTCCCTGTGTTGGCAGGTGGATTCTTAACCACTGCGCCACCAGGGAAGCCATTTTCATTCCCAGTTATGTTGTTAAGATTCCTGCATATTGCAGCATGTAGCTGCAATTCATTTGTTTTGACTGCACTGTAATGTTCCATTGTGTCTTCATGTGACTATATCACAGTTTATTTATCCACTCTTGGTGTCAACAAGCATTTGGGTTGTTTGCAGGTCTTTGCTACTATGAGCCGCACTACTATAAACTTTGTTATTTATGGCTCTTGGGTTTCTCTTGGTTGTGTTCCAGGAAATGGAATTGCTGAGATACAGAGTATGTGATTGCTCAACTTTCAGAATAATGGTGCACTCTTCTCCTAGGGGATTGTACCAAACAAATCTGCTATTTATTACCTCGCTATTGTGGTTTGAATTTTCAGCGACCATATTTTTCACTTGTAAAAGTGTTATGTAGTTCTTCATCAAATTGGCTTTTACGTTTCTAAACTGTCTTCCACTGTCATTGTGGCTTCCATTCCTTCATTTATCTGTCTAATCAGCTTAAACATCCATATATTATAATCTTTTTCAAGTTGTGTCATCGTCTCCAGTTACTGATGTGCTGAGTCTGCTTGTTGCATCTGCTTTACGTCTATATACACTTCCCCAGCCCATGGTTGTTTGTTTCTTTATATGGTTTATAAATTCTGGTTTTGAGCTTATCTTCAGCACAACATTTTCCCTCTGGGAAGATCCTATCTGTTCTGATGTAAGTGCCGCTACAAAGTTAGTTTCCAATTGCTTCTACTAAAGCCACATGGATTTCCATGGGTTAAGATGTGTCTTTCTGTTGTGTTGATGCTTTGCTTTGGAGTTCCTGTCTGTATGTACAGGATGTATATATGTCTGTATATACATCTAGAACCCACACCCTCACAGGGCACAGGTCTGGAGTTTTACCTTCTCATAAATGACTTTTTAAAAAAACTCCATCAAAGCCTCAAATGGATGTCAAAATTCCTTGCCACTTCCACAGGTTGATGGATAAAGTTTTCCTAATTCCCTTTCCAGGGACTGGGAAACCCTTCAAGTCACTGGGCTTTATGAAGGGGATTCATTTGTAGTTTCCAAATGTGTGCATGCCCAAGACCAGTTACACCATGCCAGTATAAACATGAAAATCAGTCTGCAGTCCCTGGGACCCATATGCAGGCCTAATAAACTGTTTGGCCATTATGATATTAGCTCCCACTTCCCATTCTCCCTAGGTTTGAGTTCTTTCCTTCATTTTTTTGTTTACCTAGCGTATCTATGTGTAGATGAAATAAGGAAGAAAGCCCAAGTCAGTGCAGGCAGGCTTGCTGCTAGAAATTCTCCTGAGATATATACATATCATATATATATAGATAGATAAATATATATCATATATATTTTTATATATAAATTTAATTTTTATTTTATTTTGGAATATAGTTGATTTACAATGTTGTGTTCTACTGATATATTTTTATTAGAGCATTTATGTCATTCTTCCTTGAGTTTTTGTTAGTTGATTAACTCAGGTCTCTCATGCTGAGGGCAGGCTCCTTGAGGGCAAGCCCGTTTTATTCATCTTCATCTCCTGACCACATGACTTTTGCAGCAACACATTAACATGTAATACATATTCAAATATAATTGTGAAATGCCGACATAATGAATGAACACACGAGTGAATGATGTCACAAGCCAAATTCGCTTTCCAATAAAACACCATTTCTACATTTTATTCAAAGAACTCCCAAGGTATAAAAAGCCAGAGACTTGTTCAAGTTCGTAGATGGTCAGTCAAGGAGCAGGGCAGAGAATTTAGGAGTCCTGAGCCCTGGATAGCTGACAACCGGCCATCTCTACTCTCCAGGGAGAGCGAGAGGCCAGGATGGCTGCCGCATGGAGGCCTGTGCTGTGCGTTTTCTTGGATTTGTACACTCCCTTTTTTGTTTCAGACTGACTGAGCCAGGGCTTCTGAAATTTCAGGAGTGAGAGCACCTCTAAGAAAGAGGCAGAACACAGTCAGCACTGCTCCACCTGAAATACGCCCGCCGGTCCTGTTGTGACCGGGGACCTGTGATGACACAGAGCCTATGTTCTGAGTGAGGATGCGTGTGCGCGTGCTCGGGTGATGTGCGTGTTACCGCCGGTTCCCACTCCACGCAGGAGCCTGCCTCAGCGCTTCCCAAGCACATTGGAGCTCTTTACGTGCCCGGCTCTCCTACTAAACTGCGAGTTTCTCGAAGGTGGGTACTATGTCGTCGTCATCCTTGCACGCTCAGTGCCAACAGAGTAGATCAGATTATGAAAGATGAAGCCTGGGACAGGACCCGCCCAGATGGCCCAGCTGCTTTTCCGGGCCAGGGTCTGTGTCTCCCGGGCTAGCCCAAGTCTCTGAAGAGGCAGTGTCCCCCTTGCTCCTTGCTCAACAAGAAGGGCAGAGGTCAGACCAACCGCCTCCCTTCTTGCTTAGCTTAACTCTCTATAAGCTTCGTACTGGATCTTAAGCAGACCTATTCCCACCTGCTTATTTGAGAGCGAGAACCAGTTTGCGGCTTCTTCATGAGGTGTGTAGCAATGGTGTCCCCAGATAGCTTGGGGTGATGAAAGAAATCGGCTTGGGAGACACGCCTCCCTGTTTGTCTTCTCAGCCTTGGGAGTGGAGTGGGCCCCAGTGCAGCTCTGCCCCAACCCTGGCCTCCCTGTGCCCAGGGCTACAAGGGACTCAGAGGTGCTGCTTCTGAGTGTGTGAAAAAGAGCAAAGTTAATGTGAGTCAGAGAAATAATTCCCGGACCGACCTCACCCTAGAATCGTTTCATTAAAATGGGGAGCTGGAGGGGGAGAAAGTCTTTTGCCAAAGTCTCCACTCTGTTCCAACTTGCCTTTGACGTGAGGACTCAGCAGACCCAGGGCTGACGAACCGAGAAGGGCTTGATTTACAGAGCCGTCCTCCGTCCCGGGAGGGCATCAGCGCTGTAAGTGGAGGCTCTAAAGTGTTCGTGAACAGTGTAAGCCGGTCCTGCGCCTCCCTCTGCCCAGCACCCCAGAGTAAATTTCCGAAAGGTGGTAGGACAGAGAAAAAGTTCCTTCTGTTCGGATGCCATTGCGTCTGTTGGAGGAAGAGCCGGACCAGTCGCTGGGTTCTTCAAGGCAGGCGTCTCGAGTTTCCTGCAGCTCTGCTCTCTGCCACCCAGCTTCAGGGGTCTTCCATCAGTCCCACGGGGGCGTGCTGTTTAATGATAGGCACATTGAGAGACAGCTCCAGCTGTCACAGCATGGCCCTAACGGCACAAACATCTGAGTTCCTACAGACTTTTTTCAGACGGTCTGCCCAGTGATACAAGCCCAGCTCGCTTCCCTGGACCACTGCAGTGTTCCACATGCTTCCCTTACAGTGGCGCCTCCAGAATTTCTATAGAAGAGGGTCTTACAGGCCCCAGTACTGCAAATGGAGGCCAGGGCATTTGTCTTAAAGCTGCGCTTTCATGAACCATCAGAAAGGAAACAAACCTAAAAGCATGATTAATGAAAAAATATATACTTTGTTTATATCAGTGAGATACTTCCTTGGGTTTTATGGACATGAAATTCGGGATTTATTTTTTCTTTCTTATAGTCAGTTATTCCAGTTGTATTTTATAGCATTTGCTTTTGCTTAGTTGCTTCCTTCTGGATTATTCTGTGACCTCATTGGCCTGAGAATTTAAAATACATACCTTGTGATTATTTAGCTGAAATTCACTTATTTATTTGCTGAATTAATTGGTTGGGACTTCAGGTAAAGGTAGGTAGTATTGGCCCTGCAAGTGTTCCTTGGCTCCCTGGGGTCCTGGAATGAATGCAGTTGTTTAGAATTAGCCCGACTTCATCTCTAGTAGAAGCACAAAGGATCAGATTGTATCCAAAAAAGGGAGGTTTTTCAGTAGTGTAAGGGGGCAAGTCACCATTCCTCTCCAGATTTCAATTTTCTATAAAATGAAGAGGTTGGCTTAGATGACTAAGGTCTCTTTCTGCTAGCTCTATCTAGCTATCCACCCTTCCATCCTCAGCAGATTAGGTGATGGGGCCTATTACTCAGGTTATTTTCATCTCTCCCATCTATTGACTATAATCCTAGAGTGAGTTCTTTTGTGTCTCCCCAGCCTCATGTCCTCCAATTGCAAAGTAGGGACATTTACCTTGGTCTCTTTTCTACCCACAAGCATTGGCAGGGAACCTCAGCATCTCAGGCAGGAAAGGTGATTGGCCCATCCTTCCTGAAGAACCTCCAGAGCATAGCCAAATAGGGAGGAAGACCCACACCAGCACAGGTGGACACTTCCTTTCTGGGGAGAAGGAAAACAACAGAGAAGGAGAGTAGCTCAAAAAGGGGGCCACCCTCAACCACCCAGACCACAGCTCTGGCAGCAGGGCTCCACCCACCCGTCCCCATGGGGTCTTGGTCACTCTCAAGTTTACAGTATTGGAGCAGGAAGGTCTGCCAAGATCACCTCAATAACTATAATTGTGGAAGATGATATAAGCTGTGTTCAATCTTCATTAAGTTTGAGGCCATCTTTTTCCTTCAGTGGTTAATCCAAAGATTATCTGTTAAACGCACAGAGCCAAACCAGATGAAATAAACAGATGTGGCGCCTTCCCTCTAAGGGTTTATAATCTAACTTAAAGAGCATCCACTCACAATGGGGAAATAAATCCTGGACAGCCTTAAAGAGCATTGAGTCCAAATTGATACTGATTATCTGGTTTTTGACGTACTCGGGATGGGGTGAGGACGGTGGGTTTCAATCCGGGGCAGTGCTCTCAGCACTTTTTGTGTGTTGGACCCAAGGATGTGACTCCCTTATCCACTCAGCAGTCATAAAAAGTACACAGACAACTCAGCTTCAGTCGTAACACTCACTGTACGGACCATGTTGAACGTGCATTGCCAGGTAGTTGTGATTTTTACAGGAACTTGGGCACTGGTGCCCCTTGAACAAGGAAGATATCTATCAAGCTCAATATCATCAATGTCATTAACATAAGTGTTTTCAGTGGTCATAGGACAGATGTGCTGAACTGTGGGTTGTCAACTGGACATCACTGACATCCCCTTCTGAGGTCTTCCTGCCTGGAGAAGAGAAACTGATAGCTGCATTTCCCGGAACCTCTTCTCTGCCTGGTTCCAGGAGGAATCAATCATCCAATGCAAAGCACTTACAGGAGGAAGCGGGAGGAGGAGGGATCATTATTCTCCCCGGGCAGATGGAGGCAGGTACACAGAGAAATGCAGGGTTCAAACCGCTTTCAGATAGATTTTCAGAGAATCACCTGTGTTATGCTACAGGCTGAGATAGCTGGTAGAAACATCTCAGAGATTCATAAGTTTTGTAGTTTCCCAGGGCAGCTCTTGGGGATCACATGCTTCATTGCTGCAGGCTGAGAGCATTTACAATGACTTTTTTGATCTTTGCTTCCCCAGTGGCTGCATAAACCTTACTTCCCCATCTTAAAACTCTTAATACGTGCAACATACACAGTGGCTTCTACTTTTCTGATAAAACCCTGACTAATAGAAAAAGTAATTATTTAAAAATTTAATGTAAAATTAGGAAAAACAGAATGCAGAATGGATGAGAGAAGTATATTGTGTTATAGGAACACCCATAAAGGGAATCTAATCCAGAATTGGGGGATGGAGGAGAGAGACTTCCTGAGAAAGTGGCCTCCAAGCTGAGACTTGAAGGATAAAACTGGGTTAGCTAGTCAAAGTGCATGGGGTGGAGGAGACGGAGGTTGTCTTCAAATTGTGCAAAGACCCCGAGGCCCGAGGGGGCCCAGAGATAGACGCCCCATTTGTCGGGGTGATGGTAGGTGGTGATCGCTAAGAGCAGAGGAGAGATATTACAGGGTTTTTAAATGTAGAGTTTATGTCTTCAAATGATCACTCTGGTTGTGGGACCGAGAATGGATTTCAAGAGAGCAAGATTAAATGTGGGGAGAGCAACAGCCAGCTGTCGTGAGGGTCCATACACGAGACGTCCATAGCTTGGACTTGGGTACTGGCAGTGTGGATAGAGAGACGGTGACAGATGCAAGAAATGCTTAGTAGGTGCACAGGTTAGAGAATGGGAGAAGTCGAGGAGGACTCATTTTGCCCCTATGGAAACTGAAGCTTAGAGGGATTACACAGCTCACCTCAGGTCACATAGCTCAGAAGCAGTGGAGTCAGGATTCAAACCTTAATTTGTGTAACTCTGGAGGCTTTGCTTAATTAAAAGCTCTATAGCATACACAGTCACAGATAGTCAATTTTTAAAAAAGTAATTAGAATGAGGTCCTCACGGCACTCGAGATTACCATTTTACATTAAGATAACACATGGGATAGTGGTCTCTTCATCCCTTATTCTATTCTACATTACTTCCTAGTTGATTTAACTCATTTTCATAAGTTTTTCCTCTATATTTTAAAATGTTGTAATTAAAGGAAAAGGAAGAGGGAAAGAAGATTTCTTCTCACTAATATTTCGGTTTCAACTAAAGGAAAAGCAAAAGGCATTTGTTTCATCGTTTTGACGTACATAAACCTGTAACTTCAGAAGTTCTGAGAGGCTAAAAACCATAACCAGCTGTCGTATTTTGTTTGCCAGAATGACTAAGGTAGTGTGTAAGGTTGGGAAAGCAGTAAAATAATTATCCCATACTGCTCCCAAACACCCACCTCTTCTGCTTTATGGTAGATGGACTAAACATGTCTGAAATAGCTGGAAGCAAATACTGACTTGCCCACGATTCTGACTCCTATCTATTTGCTACTGAGTCTTGAGCCTCCATCTCTAGAACAAACCTCTTTGCTGAGGACACTCTCAAGCGCGTGACTCAGGCTCCTTCAACTTTCTGTGTTCCAGCAATCTCACTGCCCCACACTGCTTTCCTTCCTGAAATCTTCATCATCCACATCTGCAAAACCAGACATTTAAAAAGTTATTCTAGAGTCATTTCTCCCCTATTTCTCACATCAAATCAGCCACTAAATCTGATGGTTTACCTCTTAAATACCTCTTTATTTTTTCCTTTCCTCTGTACTTTCACTATGGCTGCCTTAATACAGGCTACTGTTTCCAAATTCCTGACGGATAATCATTTTTGTGAGGCAGAAACAAGAAATTGGAATTCCCAGGAATTCCCCAAATCACAATTTATTCTGTATTTTTTCCATAACACTTCACTTACGTGTTTTTAAATAATAAAGATTGGCCAC